GTGATGGCACGTGCCTGTAATCCCAGATACATGGGAGGCTGAGGAAGGCAAATCGCTTGAACCTAGGAGGCGGAGTGAGCTGAGATCACACCACTGCACTCCAGCCTGGGTAACAGAGAGAGACTTTGTCTCAAAATATATACATATATATATATATATATTAAACTAAAGTAGAAAGGGAATACTGGAAAATATTTTAACCAGATCAAGATGTATCTTTCATTTTCCTTGAGGGTCTCAATTATTTTCAGAATTGTATTAATACTTCCCTAATCAATCAGTCCTCCATACTAGTAATCTTAATTTCCACTTGAATCTAGAGAGCAAAGAGAACTTTACTGCCCTGCAGTCTAAGCTCTACCTCAGGCATTCCTGGGCCGAGCAGGTTTGGGTACAGACTGCAGGTGTCTGGGGAGCACTGTGTGCTCACTGCACAGAGGTAGGTGGCTGAGTCACTGAGCTGGGAGTCTCTGATGAGCAGGGAAAGATACTGGCTGGCTCTACTGAGCTGTGCTGTAAACCTTCCATCTTCGTTTCCACTGGAGTATACGGACATCAGCAACTTAGGTCCTTTCCTGGGATCCTGTCTGTACCAGAAGAAAGACTGAGAAGCACTGTTGCTATAAGTGCAGTTGAAAGCAACAGTGGTTCCCTCTGGAACATTGAAGGGTCCAGGATCCTGCTCCACCTCCTTCTGTTGGCTCCAAACCCCTGTGAAAAAGACAGTGGTCAGACAGAGAAGACAAATTAGGAGGTAACACTTACTCCCCAGAATTCTAATAATCTTTTTACGGGCCTTCTACACTCTCTTAACTAGAGGGAAAAAAAAATTCAGGCTTCTAGCCACCAGCCTAGGATAGACATTATCTCCAAATATTGTACATTATGTTCCTGTAGAGATGCCCAAACTCACAGCTTAACTGAAGCCACAGGATCACCAGTAAAACTCCCAAGGATTTCATCATTCTTTTCTGCTCTGGTTCACTGAAGATTCCAACTTTAAATTAAAAAAAAAATGAACCTAGCACAAATATTTTATTTCTTTCACTTTAGGAATCATAAAAAGAATCTGTCCTACCAATTAGAAAAAAGAGGTTCTTTTCACAACCCCTGGCACATCACTAACCCCTCCTCTTATTCCCTGTCCCCTTCTCTCTCTCCTTCATACACACACACACACACACACACACACACACACACACACACACACACACGAGCACCTGAGAGCTGTCCTCAGGGTCCCTAAGAACACACTGCCATCTTGTGGAATCATGGTAATCAAAGATGTACTCAAAATGTAGGCCTGTATTAAGTGAACGGGTGAATATAAAACTCTGACACATTTGTTAATTAAAATTTTGAGAAGCAAATCCTCCAAGTCAGTGTCTGTAGGGGATGTTTATGTGTGTATGTGTTGGTATCATACGGCAACTCTTGTATAAGAGCAGTTGTTTCTAATAGCCACTTTCCTACACTGAACAGTCAGTCATGAAGCAATCTATTATAAAACTTTGAGTGAGATTCCTGCAATTCAAGGAGCACTTCACATTGCATAGCTCTTCTCCATGTCATGCCACACGTCCCCTTACCCTTCTGTTATCTCTAATTTTTAAAGAAATTTCCTGTAACTCAAAAGAATTCTTTCAAAATAGAATGGCCTAAAATCTAACTGAACAAACATGGTTCCACCTCACAGCCTAGGCAACAATTTTTAACAAAGCCAGGACTAGAGCTTGGAATTCGTCATTCTGTCTTACACCGATGACACATGCATGTCAAAACAGTACTTATTTGGCCTGTTGCAAATGAGATTGACTTACCTTCACTACCTGGACTTTTATGTGCCTGTTCATTTGTCTAATTCCCCTTATTTCTTTTCTGGTTTTAAGTTTAGGAATGAATCCAAAATTTATGAAACTGGTCTTTCTCTTTGCCTTTTCATTCTAACCTAAAAAGCAAACCAGATCTCTGGAGGGTTAACTATACAAGAAACTTAACTGAGTCTACAGAGAAACAAGCACAACTCCTCTTGTTCATAATCTGTTTTGTGTCCTTGCAGAAGCTGGCAGCTATAGGCTAGCAATGATGCAGGCTCTTTTCTGCTCAAGAGTCATTTAGTCAGTATTCATCAATGATGGCCTTGGCAGGCCCTTCCCATTCCCACCAACAACTGCATAGGACATAGAATGAAGGAGAATATGCTAATAATGAAATCCCTTTCTCCAAGAATACATTGCACATGACAGAAATTACAACAGCCACTTCTCAGTAAGTGTAAAAACCAAAGGAAGAGTGATAGCAACCCAAGAATGCAGCCACTACAGTCTTGGAAAATTTATAAAAAACAAATATAACTTCTAAAATTGAATGGGGACTTGAAACACAGTATTTTCAGGAAGAAATCACCTTTTTGATATTTGTAACAAAAAATAGTATGGGCCAATAGATAAATGTTGTGGTGGACCCATGAGCAATATCAGTGCTAGCAAAATGACAGAATTTATACATCAAAGTTGTACTGCAAAAGCTTCTGTGCCTACTAACTTCTAAATAACATGAAATTCCTTCACATGCCTTAAGGGCAATGTTATGGCAATTAGTCAAAGAGAAATCATAATCCCCTTCCCCATTAGATTAAACAGTCTTCATTTTCCATAGCATGAAATTTTCTAGATGTGTCTTGTGAACCTCAAAGTATTGAAAGCAAGGTCTTATTCAAAGTCAATGTATCTTAAGATACTACTGTAAATGCTACTAATTTTGTGTCTATTTGAAATATGTAAGTTGTACTATTAAAAAAAAACAACAACAACAAAGGAAATTTTTATACACAGGGAAAAACACCTTTTTACTCATTGTGTTCTCATTATACACAATGAGATTATTGAGTATAATTATATACAATATAATTATAATTATTGTTTATATATTAGTTTGTTAATTTAGGAAAAATGGGAGTTACAAACAAAAACTACAAAAAAATTGGCTTTATTTTTATCTATCTAACTACCTTTACCATTGTTCACTATTTTTGCATGACTCCAAGTTACTGTCTAGTGCTATTTCTTTTCTGTCTGAAAGATTCCATTTAGGTTTTCTTGTAGAGTAGGTCTACAAGCGATGTATATTCTGGGTTTTTATTTATCTGGGACTGTCTTAATTTCTTCTTTGTTTTAGAACAGTAGTTTTGCCTGTTATAAAATTGTTGATTGACAATTTTTTTTTAAATTTAAACACTATACGCCATCCCACTTCCTTCTGGCTTCTATGGTTTCTGATGAACAATTGACTGCCAATCTTTTGAAAGATTCCTTCCATGTGATTAGTCACTTATCTCTTGCAGCTTTCAAGATTCTCAAATTGTCTTTTTCTTTAAACAGTTTGTTTGATTATAATGTGTCTCAATGTGATTTATTTTTATTATTTTTTTATTTTTTGCCTTTTTTCTACCTGATCCTCATTGAGCTTCTTGGTTGTATAGATTCATGCTTTCCAACAAATGTGAGAATTTTGGAGTCATTATTTTCACAAATAGTCTCCCTGCTTTTTCCTTTCCTCTTACTCTGGGAATCCTGCTGTACTTATGGCTGTACTTTTTACAATGTTTTGCAGGTCTCTTAAGCTCTCTTCAATCTTTTCCCTTCTGCTTCTTAGACTAAATAATTTCAATTGGCCTAGCTTCACATTTCAGATTCTTTCTCCTGCCTGCTTTTGAGTCCCTTTATCAATTTTTTTTTAATTTCCTCTGAATAGCCACCTGTCCACTGTGTGCGTGTTTTGAGTTATATGAATACAGGAAAGTCCTTTGAATTAGCCCTTCAGAAAATCACATAACAGGTCAACATAATCAGGCACTGCTCTTTGATAACGGGTCTACACTTTTTCCATCAGCCCCAGAAACCCACATGGGGAATGCAGGATGCCATTTAAAGACTATTTTCAAGCCAGTGATGGAAAGATGGAGCAAAGGAAAGTTATACTCTCACAAATCTCTCCTGCTAGGTTGCAGTTACCTTTTTGTTGATTATGTCTGTGGAACAAATAGGTGGGGCAGAACATCTTTCCATTGGGAATGATAGATGGTTTGGGCCTCTTTTTGACAATTAAAACAAAGACTAGCATGTCAGTTTTAACTTCCATGTATAATGGATAAGAAATTACATCCTAGCTATCTATACTTTGGGACTTTGTCACAGTTGGCCAAAAGGGTGAAGTTAATATTGCGGATTGGTCTCATTCTTTTGTTTAGAGTTCTGCAGATATTGGCCTTAATTAAAAATTGTTTGAGGTAAATTCAATGTACTTAGTCTCAGAACCTCTGCCAGTCAAATTAATTAGAATGGCTTCTAGAGTGGCATACTCATGAGAAAAATTTCTAGGAAATAACACTATGTAGGAATATGGAGTAGGTATTGTTGAAAAACAGGCCATCATTAGTTGCTTATACTCCTAAATGTCATGTTAGGTCTTCCAGTGATGTAAGACCATGATCACTCTGCCTGACCACTTTCCAGAGTTATGCTTGCAGCAAGCAACCTTGAAGGCTGAGGTACTGTTTCCCTCTGAGACAAAGAGCACATGGGTTTACTGCTTACGATAAAAGCAGTGAATTCTCCAAGCTCAGAGTCCCTCAGTTATGACACAGTACCACCTCACCAAAGTATTTATCAGTACACATATCATCTTTTTAAGATTTAGGAGAAAGAAAAACTGAAGTGAATATAGCAATGTTTATGCTGTTTGCTGTGTCATGAGTAACAAAATCCTTTATCTCTAAGTAGTTTTCATGTCTTTACTGACAGCCTCAATCAAACAACCTTATTATCTTGTAGGAAGGGAAAATAAGCCAGGTGCGGTGGCTCACACCTGTAATCCCAGCACTTTGGGAGGCCGAGGCAGGCAGATCACAAGATCAAGAGATCAAGACCATCCTGGCCAACATGGTGAAACTCTGTCTATACTAAAAACACAAAACTTAGCTGGGCATTGTGGCGCATGGCTGTAGTCCCAGCTACTTGGGAGGCTGAGGCAGGAGAATCACTTGAACCCAGGGGGCGGAGGTTGCAGTGAGCAGAGATTGTGCCACTGCACTCCACACTCCAGCTTGGCAACAGAGCGAGACCCCATCTCAGAAAAAAAAGAAGGGAAAACATCCAAAACCTAACAAATCCCTCTTATCCATTATAGTAAAGACTAAAGACTTGAATTATCTTTTTTTTTTTTTTTTAAGAAAGATGAGGCTTCACTATACTCCCCAGGCTAGACTAGAACTTCTGGGCTCAAGAAATCCTCCCACCTCAGCTTCCTGAGTAGCTGGAACTACAGGCACACACCACAACACTCGGTTTGAATTACTTTTAACAACAATAAGTTTCCCAAAACTGGTCTTGAATGAACCTTTTCTGAAACATAAAATGTATGGCCCCATATAGGAATTAACTATCACATCAGATCAAATGTTTGATCAATTTTCTGATATACTTTAATAAAATACTCTTTTTGAGATATTAGTGTTATAATCGCAGACGACTATTAATCTCATGATGAGCCTAACAACCTCTACACAGAGTACAGTCATTATGAACCAATACTTTAACCATAATAATTATCTATAACCTGACTTTTTTTAAAAATCTAGTCTCATATAAAATGCCTATACCTAGTCCAATTATTTAAATGTTTCCTGATGCAATTTTTCTCTTGCATTAATTTGAGATTAAACTTTGACATATGTTCATTATAATTTGATTTGGAAGGTTGCCTTCATACTTTACAACATCTTTTAGGTTTATCTTTTTTTCTTTCAGATATTTTACAGTGGCGTTATGTTTAGAGTTCACTCAGTTCATTCGGATTACACCTGACGTCAGTTGAGTGAGGACGGGCTGAGACCCTGAGTTGATCTAGTTATTTGACAGAGCTCACTGAGCATAGGAAGGCCTGGTCCTGAGACAAGGGGAAAGTGCCAGCATGAACAGAACTCTACCACCTATCTGAGCAGGGAGCACAAACACAAAGTTCAGATTTGCTAGGATGGGAGTAAAAAGAAAGGAAAAGGAAAAAAGAAAAGAAGGCCAAGAAACATTCACTTAATTTATTCTATAGATTTATTTCCTTTTTGTTTTATTTTATGTTTTAATAGACAGGGTCTCACTCCATCACCCAGAGCTGGAGTGCAGTGGTGCCATCATAGCTCACTGCAGCCTCCAATCCTTGGCCTCAAGAAATCCTTCTGTCTGAATTTCCTGAGTAGCTAGGACTGCAAGCTCATGCCACCACACTCATCTATTTTTTATTTTTGTTTTTTATAGAGATGAGAGTCTCACTACATTGCCCAGGCTGGTCCTGAACTCCTAACCTCAACTGATCCTTCCACCTTGGCTTCTCAAAGTACCAGAATTACAAGTGTGAGCCACCATGCCCAGCCAAATGCAGTGGATATTTTTTCACTAACTATTATGAGTCAGTCACTAAAGGTAGGCACTAAAGTTAAAGATGTGATTAAACAAACAATATCCCTAACCTCATAGAAGTTGTATCATAATTGGAAGTTTAGGCCATGAACACATTGACACATAAGTCAATATTATTATAACTAGACATTGTTATTATTACCATGAAAGAAATAACTATGGTTTTGTGATAGAGCTATGGGGAGGGCCATGGATGGCTACATTAGTCAGGAGGATAAGAGAAGTCAGAAGGCTTTGTCTATAGTGGTGTACTTGAGCTGAGACCTGAAATGTGAAAATGAGTTGGGCTTGCCCATATTTGGAAGAACAGCATTTCAAATGGACGAGTTAGACAAAATGTGGGAAAGAACATGGCAAGTTCAGAATACCGAAAGGAAACTAGTGTTGTTGGTACACAGAGAGCCAGGAAAAGAAAGTTAAAAGGTGAGATTAAAGGGAAGGTCCACATGATACGATCTTTGTGTATCACAGCCTGAAATTTGCATTTTATTCCAGAAGCAATAGAAAGCCACTGAAGCATTTTGGGGCGAGTAGAGACAGCTTTTACTTTATATTGTAAAAAATCATTCTGGCGTCATATCAAATGAGTGCTTCTCAAACTTTTAAGGATAGACTCACCTGGTTGTTTTGTTAAAATGCAGATTCAAATTCAGTCAGCCTGAGATTCTGCACAAGCACAGATAGTGCTGGTCCACACTTTGAGTAGGAAGGACATGGAGAATAAACAGCCTTGAAAGAAGAGACCATTAGAAGGTAAATGGGACCATGACGTGTTTTTCAAACTTTTTCTTTAATATGTCTTATTGCATGAAAAGATACTTATGTTGTGTGAAACACTCTTACTCTGTACATTTTCTAATCCTGTTTTATTTATTTTTAATAAGAAATGAATAATTTCATAGAGTAAAAGAGTTAAAACATTTAAAAATTTTACTTGGCAAAGTGGAAAGTTCTTTAAAGTAATAATGTTCATAACAGGTAAAGAAAGCATGGAAAACAAAAAGCATTACATGCTATTGTTGAAATTGCAATTTGGTGAAAAATATCTTCCTGGAAATTATATATGGGATGTTATGTGTTTTCCCTTATTCACCCAACTCCATTCTGTTAAAGCTGTGACTTTAATGATGTTAATACAAACATTGTCTCTAATACTGGATAATTAGAAATATTATCAAAAGGTGATCCATTTTTTAAAATGTATCTATATAATGAAAACTAGACAGTCATTTAAAATTGTATCCTCAATATATGATCGTTGGCATGGAAATATCTATAATATAATGCTGAGAGAAGCAAGCATGTTAATAAATACTGGGGATATTATCAGCCCCATTTATAGAGAAATATAGTTGTATATGTACACAAGAAAATTTGAAAAATAGTAATACTTGTTATTTCTAGGCAAAGAAGTTATGAGAATGTTCTATTGTGGTAGTTATTCATATCTTCTAATTTATCTAGGTTGAACATACATAATTAAATTAAAATTTAAATTTAACTTAAATTTAAAACATACAACTCTTTCCTTCACACTCTAGATTCTGCTTTGCATCCTTGATGGAAGAAGCAATGGACAAGGGATCAAAAAGCCTAGACTCTCCTCCTAGCTTTCATTTTACTGTAAGTCATCCTTGAGTAAAAGACACCATACCTGTGGATCCTAATTCTTTCATTTATAAAATAAAGGGTATGGGCTGGATCACTATTTCATAAAGTGTGATTGATACAAGAGGTCCTATTAGGCAGCATACAGACAACCTTTCCAGTTGTTACACACATGGTGCTATTTTAATTTGTATTCAGAAAAATATAACCAGCACTTTAAATATATGATTTATATCATATACATGATTTCACAGATGGCATCTGGTAAAATGAAGACAATTTTTACATAGTTATTTTTAAAGTGTATTTAACATAAACATCAACTTCATATTAAGTAAATAATGGTATGTATGGTACACAGATACCAAAAACATCATGAATATATGATCAAACTGGTAAAGTGTTGTTGATGAGGGTACAGCCTGTAGAAAACTTGCTTCATGGACTCAGAGCCTGCACCACAAAGGGGCCTGCCCTCTTAAAGAGTAAAGCAATGGAAAGAATCTGTGGGCAAACAATCTGCATTCAGGAATGAAATTTCAATAATAACAAAAGGAAATTTAATTTAATATAAATTCAGATTTATTACATAAGAAAGATGCATTATCCTTCTCTTCTGTTTGGAGACAGAAGTTATAAAGTAAATTCCTTCTACACATTTAAAAAAAAAAATAACCTTCACTCCCACCTGCAAGGCTAGGCCTGTGTCAGGGGTCCCAGCTGCAGGCTGTGGTACCGGCTGCAGGTGCTGGGGAGACACTGTGCTGCAAAGCACAGAAGAGGTGGCTGAATCTCCAGGATGGGAGGCCGGGATATTGCAAACACTGTAAAACTTCTCTTTTCCAAGCAGTTCTTTAAAATGTTTGTCTCCCTGCTCCTTCTGGCTTGATTGAATTAAAGCCAAAGACACAAGTCCTTTCCCAGGATCCTGCCAGAACCAGCGGAAGTTGAAGAGTGTTCTCTTCTGATAAGCACAATTAAGAATGGCGTGTGTTTCCTCCTGGATAGTCAGGATTAAAGGTCTCTGCTCTGGCATATGTAGGCTGTTCACCCTGTTTAAACAGGAGCACAGATAGAGGACGTTCATTCAGGAACATTCATTCATTTGGAAGATATACTCTCTTTCACAGCCGCCACAGGTGAGCATTGAGGCCCTAACCACCCTTCTATAACTTCCAGACTTTTAAAGAAGATACTACAATCTACTCTTTTTAATGATATTTCCAGAGCCCCAAAACTCACGGCACAGCTGCCAGGAGAAAATCAAAAATGAAACTCCGAAGGCTTTCTCCACTTTTATCCCTCAGACTCAGTGAGGTCTCTGGTTAGGGTCTTGGAGCCCTCAAACACTACCAAGCCAAATCTCTTGTTTCTCTGAGTGAATATTCATAGTTCTTTGTTGCAGGAAGCTGAGACTCTCCCCATCCAGCCACGAACAAGATTTACTCCCCCACGCACAGGTTACACAGCTCTTCCTGACCTCTGAAGAGGTAACTTGGAAAAGGACCCTGGCAGGACCAGGTGCCAATTGTCAGTCAGCTGCATCTAGTGTTTGTCCCCTAGAGGTTTCTCTTTCCTTTCTTCTTCTAATACTTTCTGAGCATCTACCATGTATGTACAAGTTATAAACTGAATAACTAAAAAGGATTTCTCCCCCAAGGAAAACCTAGAAAGGTTATTTCTCTCCTTTCCAATGCAGAGCTCTGTTAAATGAGCTCCCGGGTATAGATCTAGTTATTGGCACTGTAGGTCAGTAAAATGGTGTTATATCTGAGTCCTGCTCCATAAAGCTCATGTGGATTCATCATAGAATTTACACTAAGTTATACCAGAGCAAGAAGGCTTTATTTTCTGTGCAGAAAACCTATGAGACAAAAAAAGACACAGACAAGAAAGCCAATTCTGTCAATTCAAATAATTGGATGGAATAAGGCCAGTGTGAATCTTGGCCATAACCATAGTAAGATAACATAACAGAAGGAGAGCGGAAAAGTAAACCTTAATCTATACTCAAATTTTCTTACTGTCTTATTTTAAATTACCTTTGTTGTATCATTTATACCCAAGAATAACTACCATCAGCTGAAAAATTATTTTCTACCAATGCAATTTAATCATTTAATTAAATTCATTTAACTTAATTCAATTCTTATGACCATGTGATGTATGTATAATTATCATTGATGATATGTAGGTGCTCTGAGGTTAATTAATTTTGTCCAGGGTAATGTAATTTAGAAAGTGATAGATACAGCTTTTCAATACCTATGCCTTTTAATCACCATATGAAATCTTTGCAAACTAAACTAAAGCAAGCAAGGAAAATGCCTTTATTGGAATACAAACTTCCCAAGATATTCCTGTAAAAGAAAGTGAACACTATACACAAATACAGACTCAAGCCTCGTGAGGGAAGGTTTTTTGTGTCTGCATTTATCTATTTTGTTTATTATCCTACTCCTTCTACCTACGAAAACACCTGTCACTTGTTATTTTTGTTTTGTTTTGTTTGAAATGGACTCTCATTCTGTCACCCAGGCTAGAATGCAGTTGTGCAGTCTCAGCTCACTGCAACCTCCACCTCCCAGTTTCCAGCTATTCTCCTGCCTCAGCCTCCCTAGTAGCTGGGATTTTAGGCACACGCTACCATGCCTGGCTAATTTTTGTATTTTTAGTAGAGACAGGGTATCCTCACATTGGCCAGAGTGGTCTTGAATGCCTGACCTCAAGTGATTTACCCACCTTGGCCTCCCAAAGTACTGGGATTACAAGTGTGAGCCACCACATCTGGTCCTATTATTTGTTTAATGAACAAATTCAGTGCGTGTCTGTCCTTCAAGACCTAACTAAATTTGCTTCTCCCCATGATAATTTCTCTTATCTTTTCTGTGCCACAGTGATCTCCTCCTGAGAATACCTTTAAAACTTTTTTGTCCACATACTTGGAATTTTACCTATTGATTCCATTTTCATGCATTTTATCCTTTTCTTTAATTAATTTATAATTACTTATGCCAGTCTGCTGTAGTAGCAATCTAAACTTTAATTTCTTCACTCTAAAGACTTAAAGGAGGTACAGAACAGGAAAAAAATATCTGATTACTGAATATTTCTAGGTTTACTTTTTGCTCTGGAATTCAAGGTATTTTGAAGTCTTGACACCTGAGCAATCTCCAGACTAGTTACAAAGAACAGTCCAGGTCCTGGCTTCATTTATTCACAAATTATCAATTCACTAAGCTTGGAAATGAACTTACTTGTAGGGCTTATAAAGATATCAAATTAATCTTATTCAACAATATTCTGGAATGTGTGATCATCTCTAAATATCAATTCCTGTGAGTTGATAATGACACATCAGATGCATTCCTTTAAATTTTAAGACATTTGTTATTTTTAATAACCTTTATTTTGATAGAAGAAAAATCCAGGAACTATAGAAAATTAAAAGCACAGAAGACAAGGAAAGATTAAAAAATAAAATTATATTCCCACCACCAAGGGATTAACATTTTTAATATCTTAGTATATATCCTTCCATTTTTTACAGTTGATATCTGCCTTTTAAATAAATTCTTTTCTCATCTAATTCTCAAATTATATATAGATTTCTCTAAATGTCCCAAAAAGAACTTCACAGCTAAGTTGTACAAACCGGAATTCACAATGGCAGGTAGGCATTCTGTCCCTAAATCTCTTTTCTGAAACACTGATAGTTGAAAAGCCTGGGACAGTTGTTCTGCTGCCTGAGAGTGACTGTGCCTGCCAGGGTCCCCTGGCCTTCCAGTGTCCTCTAAAAGAGCAGTGGTGGAAGGTGATAAAGAGTTGGTGCAGCACCTGAACAGATGCCTTGATCTGGAGCATAGCTAAATGGCAGAGCAGATTTCTTCTCACAGGATGCTTTCTGAGAACTTTGAATAGCCATGAAATGACAACTAAATGTCTTTCAGGAGACGGAAACTTCTCGATATACTGCCATCGGCCACATCAACTTGCTGTTTCATTTAGTCAACATTCTGCTGGTAGGTCTGCAGACCACAAACCAAGCTAGTCTCTCCCTTCAAACCAACACTGTCAGTAACAGTAACACAGCAGGAGTAACACAGCATGACTGTTTTGCCCTTGAGAACAGCCAGATGTAGCAGTTAGCTTTGTGTGTTGAGTGAGAATGTCTTTATCCTCACTTGAGGATAATGTATCCTACTTGAGCCTATGCAGAACTCTAGGCTCAAGCTCAACTCAAATCATGTCTGAGAGATAACTATTCGCTCTCTTGTGAAATTATATTCTGCATCAAAAATAATGTTCTACTCCAACTCCTATAACCTCCAGGTACAGGTTTGGGTACTGGCTTCAAGTGCCTGGGGAGCACAGTGTGCTCACCACACAGATGTAGGAGGCTGAATCACTGAGCTGGGAGGCTGTGATGTGCAGAGAGCTTTGCTTGGTGTTTGCATCCAGAGTTGCTGTGTACCTTCCATTTGACTTTGTGTTCTCACTGAAAGTCATGATTATCAGGGTAACAGGACCTTTCGCAGCATCTTGCTTATACCACCTTAAGTTGTTGAAGGGAGTCACTGTATAATTGCATTGAAGAGTGCAGTTCTTTCCCTGCAGGATGACCAGGGACTGAGGACTCTGCTCCACTTGGTTTTTGCCATTCCCTCCTATTCAGAAAGCAAAGTGAGATTCAAGATATCCATCCTCCAGTATTAATACTGTCCAATTTGCATCCCTTCCTTATTCCCCACAGTGAATCCCAAGTGAAATAGAAAATGATCCTGTTTTCTCCCTTCCTCCTAACCCAATGGACTGTACCTTTACCCTAAATCCTAAGAAAATATTCCCTTGACTTACTATGTTAACGTTGGTAAAACTGTCCACCAACTTACTATAAAAATAAAGCCACAAAATCACCAAGCAGGTCCTCGGATACTTCATTTTTATTCTGCAGAGATCTGCTCCCAGAAGTTGATTTGTGTATTCAAAATCTTCTCTTTTTTTAACACTAAACAAAGGGTTCCTCAGAGAGTATGCCTCGCCAATTAGAGACCAGGCTTCGCTATCTTACACATACCACACATTCAGAACTGCAGGCGGGGTGAATGCAAATACTGCCATCTTGGGATCAGAGCTACAATTGCTCAGAAACTTTGATTCAGCTTTTTTCCTCCTCACAGTTTGCAACATGATATAGATGATAAGCCCCTTCATGTCTATGTGAGCACAATGGATTAGTAATTAGGACATATGTTTGAAACTCTGCATTCTGGCTCTATGTGATATTACATAGGAGAGTTAAGCCTTAGCTTTCTCATCTGAAACTAAGTATGGTAACACTTACCTAACAATTTTTGAAAGATTGAAAAGAGATGATTCATGTAAAGGCTTATTGTAATGGCTAACATGAACTTAACCTTCAACCAAAATATAAGGGAGTTTTATCTGTTCTATTCACTGCGATATTGTCAGTTTCTAGAATATGGCCTGTCAATAAATAGGCATACAATGAATTTTTATTGAGTGAATGAATAAACGGTAGTTTTGTTCTGGTAATGACAGAGGTATTTTTTATTATTCATTTTAATTCAACAATTTTTTTTAAATGCCTGACTTTTCAAGTATGATGGTAAGTGCTGAGAATAAGTAAAGTACCTGCACTCATGGGATTTCATTCTAACGAGAGGAAAGACAGAGTATTTGAGCATAGATGCAAGTGATTGGTAAGTGTTGAACCTTTTCATATGCCTGTTTACCATTTGTACATCTTCTTTTGAGAAATGTCTATGCAAATCTTTTCCCTATTTTTTAATCAGATTATTCCGTTTCTTCCTATAGCGTTGTTTGAGCTCCTCATATACTCTGGTTATTAATCCCTTGTCAAATGGGTAGTTTGCAAATATGTTTCACCACTCTGTGCACTGTCTTTTCACTTTGTTGATTGTATTTTTTGCTGTGCGGAAGTGTTTTAACTTGATGTAATCCCATTTGTCCTTTTTACTTTGGTTGCCTGTGCTTGTGGGCTATTGCTCAAGAAATTTTTGCCCAGACCAATGTCCTAGAGATTTTCCCTAGTGTTTTCTTGTAGTAGTTTTAGAGTTTGTGATCTTAAATTTAGGTCTTCAATCCATTTTGATTTTATTTTTGTATATGGTGAGAGATAGGGGTCTAGTTTCATCCTTCTGCACATGGATATCCAGTTTTCTCAGCACCATTTATAGAAGAGACTGTCTTTTCCCCAGCCTTGGCACCTTTGTCAAAAAATGGGCTCATCGTTAGATGTGTGAATTTGTTTTTAGGTTCTCTATTCTGTTCCATTGGTCTATTTATCTAATTTTATGCCAGTCCCATGCTGTTTTGGTTGCTATAGCTCTGTAGTATAATTTAAAGTCAGGTAATGTAATTCTTCAAGTTTTGTTCTTTTTGTTAGCTTTGAATAGCTATTCTTTTTGAATAGCTTTGGCTATTTTGGGTCTTTTGTGGTTCCATATATATTTTAGGAATTTTTTTCTATTCCTGTGAAGAATGGCATTGGTATTTTGATAGAGATTGTACTGAATCTGTATATTGCTTTGGGTAGTATGGATATTTTATCAATATTGTTTCTTACAATCCATGAACATGGAGTTGTTTTTCTTTTCTTTTTTTGTGTGTGTTCTCTTCAATTTCTTTCATCAGCATTTTATACTTTTCATTATAGAGATCTTCCACTTCTTTGGTTAAACTAACCCCTAGGCACTTAATTTTATTCATGGCTATTATAAATGGAATTACTTTTTTATTTCTTTTTCAGATTGTTTATTGTTGACATATGGAAATGTTAGTGGTTTCTGTATGTTGATTTTTTATCCTGCAACTTTACTGAAGTTATAGTCCTAAGGTTTTTTGTGTGGAGTCTTTAGGATTTTCCAAATATAAAATCATATCATCTGCAAATACAGAAAATTTGACTTCTTCATATTATAATTCCTTTTTTCTTTTTTTTTTTTTTT